TTTTTTTGCAGAACTGGGGCTTGAGCTCAGGGCCCTTTTGTTCTGATGGGGTTTTTTGGGATAGGGTCTCACAAACTATTTACCCAGGCTGGCTTCAAACCTCAGTTACAGGTGTGAGCCACCAGCAGCAGCTGGCACTGAAATGCTTCTTAAGATTAAAAAGTATTTTGGACCTACCTAGTGGAAAGATGTCCTTTATTCTTTGTTAGAACATTTCAACATCATCAAGACATCATTTTTCCCAAAGCTGATTTACAAATTTAATGCAATCACTAATAAAAATTTCAAGGCTTTTTTTTTTTTAGCAAGATGACACCAAACATCATATTTTTAGACGTACAAATAGATAGGAAAACTCTGAAAAAGAACAGCTATCCAAACTGGCCTAGCAGACATTAAAATATTAAAATATATTCACAATAAAGACTGGGGATGTAGCTCAGAGATATAGCACTTGCCCTGGGTTCAATTCCCAGCACTACATATGTGTGTGTGTGTGTGTGTGTGTGTGTGTGTGTGTGTGATCTATAACTCAGATGGTAGTACTGATACATGAATAGATAGACCAATGAAATGCAATAGAAAATACAGAAATTGATCAATTCTGTATGGAAAACCAGTGTATTATAAAGATGATATTTTAACTCAGTAGGACAAAAATGGACTGTGTAGTAAATGATGCTGAGGTAATTAGACAGTCATTTGAAAAAAAAAAGATAAAATTAGATTTCTTCCTTATACTACACAGTTCTGTTGCCTTTCTGAGTTTATGTTCTAAGGGTGTGTGAAAGAGACAATAAAGAAACAATTTACATGCCACAATAAAAAGTGGTAAGTTCTAGGAGGAAGGCATATGGAGAAGGAGAATAAAGAGAGAAATATAAAATGCAGATTTTGCAGTTACTGTATCTAACAGTGGAGTATAGAAAGCCCCCTGGCATGAGCAGACCAGGAGGATAAGAGGGAGCCAGCCATGTGCACCACTTTAATTCCAAACTAAATAAGGACAGTAAGATAACAGAAAATTTCAAACCAGTCTCTCATGAAAATGGACACAAAATGCTGTACAAACCAAACATAGAAATGTGCTTTAAAAAGTTAATATATCATGATCAACTCAGGTCTATCACTGGAAGGTAGGCTTGGTTTAACATTAGAGAAAACCATAAATCTTATTCCTCATACTAAGAAACTGAAAGAAAAAAGCATATAATTTCAATAGCTATAGCAAAAGAGCTTAATAAATTGTAACACTCATTCATGATTTAAAACCAAAAAAGACCAAAGAATCAAGACAAAAGTCTCTTAGGAAAGTAAGAACAGAAGGTAAATTTTAAAAGTGGAAAGTACCAAAAACCTACATACAGCATCATTGTTAATAGAAGAAACATTTGAAGCATATCCTTTAAAATAGAACAAGAATGCCCAGTATTGATGTTTCCATTCATTGACACTAAAACATCTGGTCAACACAATCAGAAAATGTAAAAAAAACTTAAAAATTGGAAAGCAAGAAACGAAAATGTTATTATTCACAGATAAGACTATTAGAAAACCCCAGACTTCAAAGTCAAGTTATTATAAGTAATAAAAGAATTTAGCAAGTTGCTGAATGTAAGAATAAGATTAATATCAGAAATCCATTATATTTTTATATATCTCAACAATTAGAACAAAATATTAACAGAATGTTACTTACAAATAAATCCAATAAAATATCTGCAAAACCTGAATAGAGAAAAATAAATGCATTAAATAAGCTTTAAATTAATAGAAAATATACTAGGTTTTTGAATAAGTAAAAAAGATACTATGTTCAAGAATAGGTCTCTCTAAATTGGTCTTAATTCAGAGATATTCATAAAAATTCAAGTTTTTTTTAAAAAGGAGCTTAGAAAACTGACCCTAAAATTACTTGTAAAGTGAAAGTTCAAGAGTGCACTTGGAGCCAGGCCCTGGTGGCTCACTCCTGTAATCCTATTCAGGAGGCAGAGATCAGGAGGATCAAGGTTCAAAGCCAGCCCTGGGCAAATAGTTCCAGAGACCCTATCTTGGAAATATCCAACACAAAGCAGGGCTGTCAGATGGCTCAAGTGCTAGAGCACCTGCCTAGCAAGCGTTTGGCCCTGAGTTCAAACCCCAGTACTGCCTTAAAAAAAAAAAAAGAAAGGAAAAAAATGCATATGAAACCAGGGGCTAGTGGTCCACACCTGTAATCCTAGCTACTTGGGAGGCTGAGATTGGGAGGATCGCTATTTGAGGCAAGGTCAGGCAAACAGTTCTTGGAGACCCCATCTCCAACATAACCAGAGCAAAATAGAGTGAAGGTGCAGCTCAAGCGGCAGAGCACCTACTTTGCGAGCCCCAGCCCAATTAATGCACATATTTTAAAGGAAAAAGTAAGGTATAAGACTTGACATTTTAGGTATCAAACTTTGATAAAGCTAGAGTGATGAAAATTGTGGTTTGGGCACAAGAACATAGGGAAATTGCCCAGTGAAAGAAGCAGAAGTACACTTGTGAAAATATAGGGGGCTGGAGGTAGACACGAGTGGTAGAGCACCTGCCTCACAGTGCAAAGCCCTGAGTTCAAATCCCAGTTCTGCAAAAAAATAAGGAAATGTACTTTGATTTGATTATTACATATGGTGTACATGTACTGAGTTATCACACTGTACCCTATACATATGTACAATTATCATACATCAATGTAATGTTTATTGACATAAAAAGAATATACAGAAACTTGACAAGACACAGCTGTTATAGGGAGAGCATGAACTGTTCAATAAATGTTTTCCATATGAAGAAAAAAGAAGTAATTGGATCCCTATTGACACCAGGTACAAAAATTAGTTTGAGAGGAGTGAAGACAAAAATAAACATAAAATTATAGGGGGATATTTTTATGATTCAGGGTATGATTAAATCTTTTAAAAGACACAGGTGAATACCCAGCATAAAACCCTAAAAATCAGTAAGAAACATTAATATCCATTTGAAAAACATTGCTATTTTAAGGAATCAGACATCCAAATGGTAAGCACGTAAAGGAGCTTAATCTTGTGATAAAAGAAATACAGATATTTTTAGAGTACCATTTTACAGCCACTAGCATGGCAAAATTATGAAATCTGACAATACCAAGTGACAATGAATACACTTAACAGAGGGAACTAGTCCGTTGATTGGATAGAATTGGAAAACAATTTAGCATTACTGTCCCGCCAGTGACTTGTAGATACTTTGTGACGACTCGGGCACGTGCCCCTCCCCAGCACCGAGCTCGCAGGCGCGCCCCCTTTCCCGATGACACACGAATTCGTGAGGCAGTCCATCTTTTTCAATTATGTCCATTCTTCGTTTTCGTAGTCATGCTTGCGTTAACATTTAAAAAAAATAACGTTCGTACATATGCAAGAAATGAGAACATTCAGAATAGCTTTGCTCATACAGGCCCTAGTCGGGGTGTCTACTGACATTACTTTGACTCCCTTGGGGCCGTGATTTTAAATAAAAAGGTGACTGGCAGAATACTACGTTACTTAAGGTACAATTATTTTGCCATATCCAAACACACAAAACTAAGGTCTGTTGTTCCAGGGCATTTCTACCTAGTAACAAAACGGAGGAAATGGGAAGAAGTGAAGGATTTACTGGTATCTGAACAGAGAAGAGCAGACAAGGGCGATGGAACGGGGCGGGGGTGGGGGGGAGTGGGAGACGGGAGGATGGGTTGGGCAGGACTTCCTGAGGAGTTTGAGTGAATGCTGGAAAGTAGGTGGGGCGCTCCTCACGTAGTGTAATTTGCACACGGGCTTCCGATTTTTAAGATTATAGAAATTGGAAAGCACACCAGGCGTCAATTCTAGCAGCGGCTACACGCTGCCATAAAAGCACCTTGGAGGAATGTTCTGGAATGCAATCGCCCCACACTCCCTCCACGGGGGGCGGAGCCTCGTCGCCCGCGCGCACAAACACGCATGCGCGTGGCGTCCATCCAATCGGAGCACGTTGTTTTTTTTTTCCCTCCCACGCTAATCTCAAGTTACTTCAGAAGCATCGTGCAGGCTGTGGCGGCGAAGGCCGCTTTCCTGGTGGGTGAAGAAGGCAATTGTGGGCTGGGTCACCCGTGGTCGGACATTGGGTTTGGTTCAGTGTGGAGAGGGAGGGCTTTGGCTCGCGCGGGAGTCCGAGCCAGTGAAGACTTTGTCCTTGACCAGTGAGGCAGACCCCCTTGCTAGGAGCCACCTGGGCCTGTGACGGGAAAGCGGGAGGCCATGGGGACAGGTGGGAGGGGTCATGGGACACGTGACCCCGCTGCCTCTCCCCCCCCCCCAGCCCGACAGCAAACTGGGCTCCTGCGTTCTTCCTCCAAGTTTTCCGAGGTCCAGATTTTATATGTACAAATATTATTATATAATGCATAATTATTATAAATATATAATTGTAGCTGTCATAATACATAATTATAAATATATAACCATAAGTCATAACATAAGTGCAATATAGTAATAAGTATATAGCATGTAAATATATAATTATATGACATTTATTGTATACACTATTATAAATAGTGCTGGGGATGGAACCCAAACCTCCTGCATGCCAGCTACGTGCTTTACCATGGGACTGCATCCCCAGCCTTGCAGAATTTTTTAGTCTCGATTTATATTGCTATGGACTTATTTCCGGCATGCCAGCACCACTTTTACTTTGAGACTAAGATATAGACTAAATTTGTTCAAATTTATCAAAACCCTAGCAGATAGTAGGACTCAAGTCCAGGTCTTCTGGTCTGACATGCAAACGCACTTGGGAGACAGGGTTGATGCCGTTATTATTTTCTTTTTCTTAAACAAGTGACAGTTAACTTGTGGTTCAGTTAAATAAACACTTTGATATCTTAATTGGCATTTTAAATTTTATCAGTTTATTTAAGTGATGCTTTTGTATTCATATGGTTTAAGACATTTGTTTGTTGTTTTTTAAGTCAGAAAACGTCTAAATATGGGGCCTGCTGGAAAAAAGCACTCTGGGAAATCTGGGAAACCACCCGTGGAGGATCAGCTTCTAAAAGTCTGTGACTTGGAGAAAAAAGATAAAGGTGTGAGTGGTTCAGAGGAGGAAGTTTCCCAAGGTACAGAATATCTAATGCAGGATATTGATGATGTCCTGCAGTTCACTCATCTTGAACCTACTCTATTTAAATCGAAGTAAAAGTTTGTTAAGCGTTTTCATGTTATTTCTCATTTGGTCCTCACATCCCTGTATCAGTTACAGAAATATGTATAGCATCTCTGGATTTTGCAGTCATTTTTCCCAACATGTCCTTACCCAAGGAAATTGTTCCTATGAAATAGTCATATAGCCTGATTAATTTTTGAACCTTCAGAGAAAATAATTGCATTTGTATATCTGTTTAAAAAACTTATTTTGGCAAAATGCCTATAAGACCCCATAATAAAAATATTATTTCATTAAACTTACCAAAATAGCATACTTATTTTCAAAAATGTTTTTCTTTTTTTATTGCCAATACAGAAAAGACTCCAATAATTGTTAAGCGTGGGAAGAAAAGGCCTTCTGCAGGAATGGTTGAAGATATGGGGTAACATGCTCAAATAATTAAAATAATTTATGCCTGTTAGATAAAGTACTTAAAAAATTTACTTTGGTTGTCTTATCTAACAAGTATTGTATAAAAAATACTCGGAATGTATTTCTTCCAAAATAAGAATGATGGACTGGAGGCATGGCTCAAGCTATAGAGTGCCTGCCTAATAAGCATGGAGCCCTGTGTTCAAACCCCAGTACCAACCCAAAAAAAGAAATCAAATTAAGAATGATATATTATGAATTTTTAATTAAAATTTTTTTGTTGTGCTTTTGAAGGCGGCTATGCTGACCACTATACCACCAACGCCCGCCCTTGTGCTTTTGGGTTGCGTGTGTGTGTGTGTGTGTGTGTGTGTGTGTGTGTGTGAATGGAACCTAGGACTTTGTGCATGCTGGGCAAACGCTCTACCACCAAGCTACACCCCCCAGCCTTAATTTTTTTTAAATGTATTTTCTTCACAGTGGTGAAGTACAAAATATGCTGGAAAACTTTGGAGGTATGTATTTTTTTTTAAATACAAAAGCACAGATTGACTTTATTTACTTTTCATTAGTTTAAATCCTTGAGGGGTACAGCATCACACAGACCCTGTGTCCAGTGGCCTTAGCAGGAAGGTTGCTTTGAAACTTGACCTGAACCATGCCACTGCTCCGGGCACTGATTACCTTTCCCCAGATTACTTTGGTTTTGTTTGGTTTGCCGCCAGGAGTCACTGTGTTGCTTTTTGCTTTGTACACATAAGCACATCTCTTGCCCAAGTAGAATTTGGTTTCATCTCGGGCATAAACGCCTTCAGTTTTAAGAAGAGCTGTGTGCTCCCTTTGGTTCTGGACACCCCACTTATGGTCAGCAAAAATGGCCTTCCAGACATACTTGCCTTTTAAAAGTCCTGCTCCCAGCAGGCCCTCCACAGGCTCCAAGATGGCGGAAAGAGGAAGTGGAGGTATGTTTTTGAAGCTATTTTTATTTAAAGAACATTGTTTTAAACCATACAGTAATTTGTATAACAGAAAGAGTTAATAGTGTACTATATATGACTGATTTAATGGTTTGTTTTTAGATACATAGGACTTTGCATAAAGCCTTTGTGATTTAGATTCACAGATTTACTTACCTTTTCCATGATGTGAAGAGTAGTGCTTTCATTTATTTATTTATTTATTTTTGCGGTACTGGGGTTTGAACTCCGTCTGGGCCTTCACCCTGAGCCACTCTGCCAGCCTTTTTTGTGATTGATTTTTTTCGAGTTAGTGCCTTCCAAACTATTTCCCCAGGGTGGCTTCAAACCATGATCCTCCTGATTGCTGCCTCCTGAGTAGCTAGGATTACAGGTGTGAGCCACCAGCACCCGGGAAGAGTGATGCTTTTAGATGTGTGAGTTTAATGGAATTTTAGAAGGAAACTAGATGAGAAGAGTTTTGACACTACTTTATATTCACAGACTAAGTGATGTACACACATATTTATTAGTCAATTTATTTTCTAAAACTCTGTGTTCCTTTCTCTAGGAAAAACTGTTTAAATTGGAGCCTCTAAAATAATTCATTATTATTTTATATTAATAATGTATTTGAAACTTAAAGACAACTTTCCTAGACAGTAAGATATTTATAATTGGATCCAAAAACTTAAGTTTTAAGTAGTATGTTAAGTATCAGTTATATGAGCTTTGTTAGGGGTCAGTACTCTTTTTTGAAGAGTTTATATTTGGCTCCTCTATGGGGATTATTCATACAATTATCTCTTTTTGAAAGAATTGCTCTGTTTGGTGGTGGTGAAGTGCTATTTACTAATGTTCATAAATTTATTATAATAGATGTTGAAAGTATAAAATATTTACGTAACAATACAGCTTCATAATGGTTACCAAAAGATAACTATGATAAATCCATAACAAAGGTGTCTGTTTAGCACACATTATTTGAAGTATTAAAATTTTTATGAAATGCTATAATTAGTAGTAGAAATGCCCTACAAAAAGCTCCATGAAAGTATTTTTAAAATGTTCTTGAATGAATTTATCTATATATTTACTAAACTAAGATTTTTTTTTTCTCTATTTTGGACTCATTTCTTTTTTCTTTTTTTGGCAGTGTTGGGGCTTGAACTCAGGGCCTCACACTTGCTAGGCAGGTGCTCTACCACTTGAGCCACAACACCAGCCCTGGTCTTGTTTCTTTTAGTAAGGTGTATATTTAAAAGTATCATTGGCTGTGGTTTTTACAAATAATTTTCTTACTCTGATTTAACAATCCTTTTTGGATTCTGTTTTTGAAAGAGTACTTTTAGGTGTTTCACATAATGAGTTCTAACAATAATTCAGCAATAATTCAGCCTTGTGTGATCTTTCAATTGGAGAGTATTTTATAAATTTAGGAAAAAATAGCCCTTATTAAAGTGTTTCTTCATGAAGAATCTGAAGTCTGTCATTCGCCCTTGTTCATTCTTACTAGCTCTTTTTTTTTTTTTTTTTTTTTTTTTTTTAGTAAAGATGGTAAAGTTTATTAGGAAAAGAATTCAGCATAACAGGATAGGAATGGAGAGAAATAGAAAAAAGGGAAAAACATTTCCTGCTCCCCCCAGTACAGAAATGAGAGTAAAGACTCCATCTCTCTTTTTTTTTAATTCTCTCCTTTAAAAAAATCTATTGTTAGGAAAATCAGAATTGGGATAAGATTGAGTATGCCTTATACAAAATGCTTGGGACCAGACATGTTTCAGATTTCAGGTTTTTAGATTTTGGAATATTTTACCAGTTGAGTGCCCCAGGCTGAAAATCCAGAATTCTAAGTGCTCCAAAGTCTGAAAATTTTGGGGCATTGTGTTGATGCTATTCTGAAATTTAATTTTAAATGTCTTTCTGATGTCATTGAGCGAACTTTACCCATGTTGATGTTTACTTGAATATGTGGGAACAAAACTTTAACATTAAATTTTAATGAATATTTATTTTCAATATAGCTGACATTAACAAGGCTCTTCTTGCCAAAAGAAAAAGACTAGAAGTGTATACCAAGGCTTCTTTCAAAACTAGCAATCAGAAAATTGAACAAGTTTGGAAAACACAACAAGAGCACAGGTAAGGTTGTTGGTCTTTTTTTTTTGTATTATTTCTAAGTATATATTAATTCAAATTACTTATGAAAAGTTCTGTCATCTTCTTTTTACTGGAGTCTCTAACAAAAATATGTTGGACTTGATTTTTCTTTAAAATCATGCCTTCATAGAATTGAGAGATATTTCTTAGAATCAGAAATATCTGATTATTATCTGTTATTTTTAAGTAACAATTGAAGGCTTTTATTGTTATCATTTCCTTTTTTTAAGTTTTTTCCCCCCATTTTTATTAGGATGTATTTGTTGTACAGAGGGGGATTCATTGTGACAATTTTGAATAGCCTTACATTGTACATTGGTTAGATCACCCCTACTAACTCTACCCCTAACCACAATTGAGGGTTTTTAATTATATAAAGTAATTTATATTCATTCTGAGAATATACTAGCTCAGTAAAAGGTAAATGTCATAGGAATTACTATCTGAGAGCTGACTATGCTTGACAGTGTAGAAAAAGATCCATTTTGAATTGTAAATGATTTGTATATTTTAACTGACTTAACTCTTCTTTGTACTAAATCTCTGCCATGCCAAATCAGGAAAAAAATCAAGTGAAATATTTCCACTTGGAGATAATTTACTTATCATATCAGAACTTATATTCAGTACAAAAGTGAAAAACTGGAGATAAAATGAATTTTTATGGAAAATTTATATATATGATAAAACTTCCTTAGTTTTCAAGACTAAAGCATGTAAGAAGACTTTTCTGTTAGATTGAAGAAAAAAAATACTTCTGGAATTAGTGCATTTCTAATTTTACTTCTTGGTTTCCCATCAGAATATTCAAAGTGCTGTTATTTCCTTCCTTTTTATAGTGTAACAACACATCAACTCATTTATTTATATTTGGTAAGACTTGTGTTTGAACTCAGGGCTTCACTCTTGCAAAGCAGGTGCTCTACTGCTTGAGCCACACCTCCAGTCCATTTTGTTCTGGTTATTTTGGAGATGGGGTATCATAAACTATTTGCCAGGGCTTGCCTCGAACCACAATTGTCCTGATCTCAGCCTCCCAAGTACTTAGGATTACAGACATGAGTCACCAATGCCTGACCTCAATTTTGTTTTGAATATTTTATTTTTTCATATTGGTATGAAATGTGACAGAGTATTCATTATTATGTTTTACAGGCAGAAGCTTAACAAAGAATACTCTCAACAGTTTCTGACTTTGTTTCAGCAGTGGGAAATAGACATGAAGAAAGTTGAAGAACAAGAAGAAAAACTATCTGTTCGTATCACATTTAGCTTTATAATTAATCTATTACGACCAAGTTTCAAGTAGGAATACAGAGCCTAGCATTGTATTGGGCTCATGCAACTGAGCCAGGTTCTGTTACCCTTTGCTGACCATTTGTTTTAGTCCTGCTCAATTGTAAACCACAGAAGTATATGCACCTACCATACTCAGGTCTTTGCCTCTTATGCTGGCTGAGATTCTTGAAGTTTCAAGTGACAGAAACTTGTCAAGGGACAAAAGTCCTGCTGGTTTATATAAAAGAAATCAGAGGTAGTTTAGCTTTAGGTATAGCTGAATGGGGATAAGAAAGGGATGTTTATGTAGTGTCATCTGGGCAGTGGTGTGCTAGTTTTTAATGGGTTCACTCAGTGTAGTAAGTTAGTTATAAAATCCTCCACTCACTACAAATTTAGTAACTGCAGCAGGCTGAGACAATGTTTCTCAATAACTCTGGCAGAAATTTTCCTCTGGAGGTATATGACTGATCTGGTTTGGATCATTTGCTCATGCCTGAACTAATCACTATAGTCAGAACGTGGTTTACTCTTCTTTTTTTTCTTTGAAGTACTGGGGATTGAACCTAGGGCCTTGTGTAAGCAAGTATACTATCATGGACATATAGCCCCAGTTCAGAACATAGTTTATTCTTAATGACCAGACTTGTGTTACCTGCCCATTCCTATATGAGATGGAGGCAACTCCACTTACATGTTGTTCATAATTATCAAACATTTATATTTAAGAACCAAGGTACTGGTCATATCAAACAATTTTCAGGTTGATGAGCTGAGTGATAGAAATGTTAAATTTAAGATGCACATGAAACATACATAGAAGTTGAGTAGGCCACTGGTATAAGGCTGGAGTTCAGGAGAGAGATACTGGCTGAAGATACAAAATTGGGAATTCTGATTTTAAAGGCAATTTTTAAGCCATGAAGACAGATGAGATCACCATGAGGGTGACTGTTAATGTAATTGAGAAGTTTAAGGACCAATACCTAGAGTACTTCAATATTTAGACTTCTAGGAAGTAAGGAGGAACTACTAGGCTGAGTCAACTAATAGTTAGAAAGTAAATTCATAAAGTGAAGAAAGCCTTTTAAGAAGGAAAGAGGACTGTGTTGTATGTTGCTTTTACGCTAAATAAGGTGGATTTGGCCATGTGGAAGTCAGTGTGTACTGAATCAATGATTTTGGTGGAAAAATGAGTACAAAACTCTGATTAGAATGAATACAAAACAGAATAAGAAAGAAAGAATGTGGTGGATGGTGTGAGAAGTATCAGGTTTAGCGCTGATACGAATAATCTAAAAGAACAAATTAAAAATAAAGAGGGAGATAGTTGTTAAATTCTTGAGAATGGATGGGGCATGTGAAGAAGTTGGGCTTTGTAAGGAAGTATACTGCATCTTTGGAAATGGGAGAGAAGGTACAGTACATGAACATATAATAGTTGGAGATTGGTGGTAGGTTTATAGTGATGGGAAACTGAAAGTTCTCTTTGTATTGCTTCTATTTATTTAGTGAAATAAGGTTATCAAATGGTGAAAATGATAATACTAGGTAGAGTAGTGGCTAGGGAGTTGAACTTTTCAGGATTGGGATTCAGCCAAGTAAATAGGAAAGAGTGTGACAGGGGACAAGGTATATATGCAAAAGAGTAATTATAATGATCAGCTATAAAATTTAAGAGGAAGGTAAGGACAACAGAGGGATGACAGTGAAAAGTAGGCAGGATGAATGGATTTTTCATTCTTCTAGATTACTGAGCTATAGTACTAAAGGAGGGAGTAAGCTAGAATAGTAAGGAGGTTGTAGTTGAAAACAGATATATGGAGAAAAACAGTATGTGTAATGGTTAGAGTCTAGACTGGAAACATACTATTGGGGACCATGGACAAATAATTTACCTTTATGCCTCAGTTTCCTTATCTTTAAAAATGACTAGTGAGTAACTATCTCATATAGTTGCTGGGGGATTAAATGAGTTCAGAGACAATAAATCCACTTAAACGGGTTCAGAATAGTATCTGATACTTAATATATGTTTGCCATTATCAGTGCTATAGAGCTGTTACATGGTTAATAATAGCAAAATCTAAAATGAATGGATAAAGTAGGGTGGAGGACAAAATTGTTGGTGGAAAATAGGATAAAGAACTGAAAGACCACCACAATTGGAGCACCTTCTATGTGGAGGTTGAAATTATGAATAAAACATGTCTTGAGCATTAAGATTAACTATTCAGTCTGGATTACCATCTATGTGGACATTGAAATTACAAAATAAAAATGGTTTGAAAATTAAGATTTCCTATTCAGTCAGGCATGGTAGACCATGCCTGTTATCCTGGCTACTCGGAGGCTGAGGCAGGAGGATCATGAGTTCCTGGTCAGCTTATACAACATAGTGAGACCCTGTCTCCAAAAATGAAAAAAAAAAAAGAAAGATTTTCTACTCAGTGACTAGTAGAATTATTATATTATATGTTAATGGTAAACACAAATTATCTAAACTTGGTCATAATACTTTTTAAAATAAAATATCAAATGTATTAATTTGAAAACTATTCCATTCAAATTTAATATAGAATTTAAGTTTTGCTAAGTTTTTAGGGCTGGGGATGTAGCTCAGAGGTAAGTTTGCTGAGCATGCATGGAGCCCTAGAGCCCTGGGTTTGATCCTTGCACTGCAATCAATCAATCAATAAACAAAAATTACACAGTTTGTTATTTTTCTTTTGTATTTGTAGAATGTGTTTCGACAACACCAAAAGGTTTTTCAGCAAACTAGAGTTGCTCAGAATCAGAGACTGAAAACAATTAGACAGTTATATGAGCAGCTTGTAAAGGTATGTTGTACATGGCAACATAATACATTCATATAAAACATAATTTTTGTCAAGTTTATGAAAAAAAATTTTGCTTATACATTTTAAACTTTAACTGCTTTGCATTTTAATTCATTGTTTCTGGCCTAAGTGGTAAATATATCTTTAGAATTGTAATGGTTTTGTGGAGATTATTCAAGACAGAAAATGATAAATTGGGAATTTCACCTAGAAATGTACTTATTGTGCATCAAATCCATACTTTATTAGCACTTAAGTCATTGCTCTCTAACTGAAAATCATTTCTGTGTGGTCTGTATTTGTATCCCTCGTGTTTGTTAAAGTACCCAATTGAAATTATTGAATATTTCTTGTTTTCAAGTGTGTTATATAACAATTTTATGGCATATTTCTTTTTAGATTTATTGTAGGGATCAAAAATATCTTTATATGCCAATTTATAATCTTAAGAGGTAGTCCAGAACATAATAGTTGAGGAAAGTGTTTCCAAGTAGAGAACTTGTCACTTGCTTCAATGTTACCTGGCAACAATTTGTTAATTGATACGGAAGTTTGATAAAGTACTAGAAAAGATTTCTTCTAAATGTTATCACTAAATGTTACCACTTAATAGGAAGTTTAGTCTAACTGTTGGCTCCTCCATCTCGTTTATCTTTCACATTCAGTTACTACTAGAATCAACAATTTTTTCTTTTAGTTCCTATTGTTATTACCCTAGTTTAGGGTCCCCATCATTCTTTGTTTGTACTACTAAAACTGTGTTCTCTATCCATCCTTCATAAATCTGACAGGTTATCTTTTAACGTCTTTTTTCCTGAAAACCTATCAGTACCTTCCTATTCTAAATTCTTAGGTAGTTGAGATCCCCCATACATGAACTCTCTTTAAGCCTCATTTACTACATTTGACCATTACTCCCATCCTTTTACATAATTGCTTTTCTGTGAACCTACTCACTGTGTACTTCCATGTTTTTGCTTATAGTCTTTCCCTAGAATACTTTTAATTCCTTTTTCCTTAGTGAAATATTATTCTTTTGCCAACTAAACTGGAATTAATCCCGATTTTCTACTATGTAGCTACAGTAAGCTGCATTTCCGTTCCTGTTACAAAGTTTTTGTGTTATTTTTCAATGGAAAAAGGGAGCAGTCATATATTGATTTTAAATTTCTCCATAGCACTTTTCACAAAAGTACATTTTACACAGTAGGAAGTAGGGTAACTATTTGTTAAATGAATGTTAAAAGAATTAAAATGTAACTTTTTTTAGCCAGGCATGGTAGTACACATCTGTAGCACTGGAGAGGCTGAGGCAGGAGGATGGTGAATTTGAGGCCAGCCTGGGCTCCACAGTAAGATAGGCTTTCCCAAACGACAATAAAACCCCCTAAAATGTAATTTTTATTTTTCATAAGTTGGTGAAGTCATATCCAGATAATTTTATTCCTTTTAGTGAATTCCATGTCACTTATTATAACTGTTAGTCATAATAAGTGGATTATAACCTCATGTTTGAGAAACACTAGAAATTTTCAAAATTATGATATTTACTGATAGGGCCTTGTAGTCTTTTTAATTCCTCCATTGTTTACCTTACCCTTTATTTCAAGATGGGTCTTGCTATGTTGCCCAGGCTGGAATCAAACAACATTCTTCTGTCTGAATCTCCAGAATAGTAATACCACACCCTGCTTTTTCCCTACATCTTGATCTTAATAGTTCATTAACCATTGTTTTGAGCAAAGTTTTGAGCAAAGTACTTGATTTATGTATGATACATTTTATTTTTTATAGTAGGAATTTTGGTTTTCATGTATTAGAATATTTTTTAATTTGGAGTAATGAGTACTATTTGAATATTAAAAAGTAGTACTTTTAAAAATTAATTTTGTAAGTGTAGAACCTTTGATGAAAAGCTATGGTTTATAACTGAACTAGGCTTTTGTTTTTTAGGGTTTGGAGGACTTGGAGAAGAATAATGGTACTCTACTTAGTGGTACACAAACTGAACTTAAAAAAGAAATGGCTATGTTGCAAAAAAAAATCATGATGGAAACTGTAAGTTATTATGATTCAATTGAAAAGATAAGGGTTAATGTAAGCACTGAAATACTTTATTTGATGAAATATGTATAACACTTAACTAAAAATTTAACAAATGTTTAATATCTCCTTTCATGAAACAGCAGCAGCAAGAGATGGCAAGCGTTCGAAAGTCTCTTCAATCCATATTATTCTGATGACTCTTTGAAGAAAGAACTTGAACCTAAGTAATGTGATATAATTATAACATTAGCTAAGAGGCATGTAAGTCTTTATGGTATTTTAGAAATTCTAGTATAAGTTACAACATTTTTAATCATTAGGGCCTCTGGTTAATTTTCAAATAAAAAATACAGTTATATGAGTAGCAGCTATTCCTAAATCATATGTTTCAAGCTTTCAGATCTTTAATTGTAATAGTGACTTTTTTTCTAACACTGTCTATTAACTTTTATCAATAAAGATTTAAATTTAGGTTCTGACTTCAGTATATCTCTATCAGTCTCACAAGCAAAGGTGCAAAGTACAAGTACAGGAGGTTACTTTTTATTGTTGTTTGAGACAGAGTCTTGCTGTGTCACCCAGACTGGTCTCAAACTCCTGGACTCATGTGATCCTACCACCTCAGCCTCCCAAGCAGCTAGGAGTACAGGTTTTGTGCCACCATGCCTGGCTTGGTGTTCTTTTAGGAACTCCCCCTCCCCTGCAAAACATTTTACATGTATATCCTTTCCTATATACTTATTAAATCACACTGCCAATTTTAATGAAAAGAAAATCTATTCTATTGACTTACAAAATTTTAATTATTAAAAGAACTTAAGTTTGTGTTGTAATAATTTAAACTGCTAAAATAATTAATACAACTAAAAGTGTACACATTGATGAATGCTATTTCCACAGAGAAATCAAAATATCATTTAAATTGGGCTTGGTCTGTAAGTTTTGGTAATGGTTAAGAGCATATCATGGACAGAGCTAATTACTTATGCGTTAAATATTTCACTTCTATCTTCAAAGATTTACATAGAATGTCTTTTCAGTATTAATGTTTAGTAAATATGTGGAAGTTTGAATTTATATTCACTTCCACACTTAATTTTTATACCTCTTGACTTTTAAAATGTACATTTTTATGTAGAATAACTTATAAAGCACTTGATTTAATGTTAAATTTGTTTCAACATTTGTTTATGTAAGTCAGTTAAACTTACTATTTTTTTTTAACTGAAATTGCTTTTCACTGAAACATGCAGAACAGAAATACCCATTAGAAGGAAAGGAACAATTTTCTTTTGCTTTTCCATGTTTTAAATTCTGATTTTTGCCTCTACAACCCATCTTTATCTTACTTTTAAGGCTTTCCAAGTTTTACAAAACAAGTCTATATGGGTTATCTTTTCCTGTGATAATTTATACAGGAAGAAATTAGTCTTCTACCATTAATGAATATTTACATGAAAAGGACAGTTTACTTTTTTTTTTTTTTTTTGTAGTGCTGAGGGTCAAACCCAAGCAGTATTTCAGCAGCCTGGAATACTCCCAGCAGCCTGGAGTATGTATCTTAAGTCCTATTCACATTCATTAAAAGGTCTTCATTTGAAAAATCTTGCCAGTATTTACAGAGGAAAAATAAGTACTCCAGGATTTTTCTGTGTATTTAATTCATATAAGCATTTTTCCTCTTAAGGAATATCAACTTCCACTATTTTTTTCAACATGCCTTGCTTTTGCTTAGAATAAAGTACATATTAATTATTCCTTTTATTTTTCTGATTATTTTATCATTTGGTATCTGACTTATGGAACTGTCATATAAAATCAGAAGTGGGGTGAGATGGAAGTCTGAAGATTTGGATTAACAAAGATCTTTGTGATAGTTCTAGTATTTATAAAGAACAATCTAAATATTTTCAACTGAGAAGAGAAGGGTAAGAATCAGTACCTAATGTACTTAGTGGTTGAATACTTATTTTATTGCCTTATTATCTTGAATGAGTCAATATATACTTGAAGTAACTGGCTAATAGTCTAAAGAGATGATATTTTTGCCATTTTTAAAATAAGTTTTCTTACATGTCAACTGTTTTAGCTGTTTTTTTTTAATAAAAGGACCACTTAATATCTATTTTTCATGGCAATGAAAAACTTAAGACTATCAAAGAACGAGTTACCCTCAATATAAAGATTTATATATTTTTCAGAACTGGTAAAATAGATTCATTTTACTAAATACAAATTTTAAAAATTCATGTAGCCGTTTTAAGTTCTAGTTGGTATACTAAAGCATTTCCTTTTATACCATAGTAATTAGTATATCTCTTTTAAAAAATGTCTAGCATGAAAAATATTTCTAAGAATATCACTTGATTCAGTTACAGTATTACAAGCCATGTATTTATGTAGTATATGAACTCACATTTCAATTTTTAGCAACATAAGTGTCACTGTCAACATGGCTAAAGTTCTTTATGTTTTCAATTTTTATGAATCCTTTGGCAGTGAAAACCACAAATGTCTGATAGGTAGTTTGTAGACATGAAGAGAATGCTATTTAGAACTATAGGGGTTCACTCTTCTTATCCTCAGGATTGAAATTTCTGTCTTTGGTCTTGTTTCTAATTAATTTAGAGACAAAATTACTCTGATAATGCCTGTGATCAAAAATGTTGATGACACATGCGGGCTTCATTATTGAAGCAGACATAATGAAATCTGTATGATTTGTGTTTTCTATTTAAATATAACCTTATTTGATAGTATACTAGCCTCCTGCATAGGGAGATTTCCTTCACTCTTAGGTTCCCCTAACTGCTTCTCCTCTTTTCCTTGGGCTATTAGTCAGTCAATATGCTTGTGAACCTGTTCAGGTGCTTGATGATTTGAAGTCTTGAAGATATTTAGATGAAGATGTCTTGAAATTTGCAGGCACAAAGCACTAAAGTATATCATCATATCAAATGAAGAAATGACCTTTGGAAGCAAAAAAGAAAATGTAAAATGGATTATGATCTATCTTTTGTGAAGCTACTTTTCTGTCTCTCCTAAGTGCCAGCTTAACATTCTTAACCTAAATCTTCACTGAAAATATTAGATTTTAGCATACTTTCATATACTTCATATTTGAATCTTATTATAGTCTTTTGGAATATACAGACTTTTTTAGTTATAGAAACTAAAGCTCAAAGAGGTAAAAGAACTAAATTTTAGTACAAAAGCTCAAAAGTAACAGAACCCAAGTCTTCTGACTCCACATTCTCTCAAGTTTCTGCTATGCAATGAAACCATAAATTTCCTCCTAGGAGGAAAGTATTATAATCACTTATTATAATGAACTCATTCCATAACACATTTTTTTATTCCTCTGAGGTTATAAGAATATAAAAGGTCTGGAAAAGGCAACATAGTTAAGGGAGGCATATACAAAATTGTGTTACATTCAAAATTAAGGAAGAAGGACTCCAGAGACTGTCGAGGGATTAGTCTCAAATGCTTTCCTTCAGGGCTGGTGGAGTGGCTCCACCTAGCAAGAGCGAGGCCTTGAGTTCAATCCCAGTAAAAAATTCAAATGCTTTCATTCAGAAAATGAAGGCCAGAAGAAAAAGGAGCCTCACAGTCATGCCCTTGAAGAGGAAATTCATTCTCACCCGTGGGAAAAAATCTCCCCATCATTAACTTGAAAAGCTCTGTCAGGTTTTTTACTATCTGAAGCATGAAGCTTTTCCCTAGGGATTCCATGGAGCATGGATGGGTTTTTTTTGCCTACGCTCTGTGTGTGTCTTCTACATAGTGTTTTTTGGTTTTGGCAGCACTGGGGCTTGAACTCAAGACCTCATCCTTGCTAGGTAGGTGCTGTACCATTTGAGCCACTCCACCAGCCCTATTTTCGTGAAGTGTTTTCAAGATAGGGTCTCATGAACCAGTTGCTTGGGCTGGCTTCAAACCTCGATCCTCCTGATCTCTGCCTCCTGAGTAGCTAGGATTACAGGCGTGAGGCACTGGTGCCCAGTCTACATAGTGCTTTAAGGAAAAATTTTATTTGACTTCCTTAGTTCACCAGTCTCCATCATTAGTGCAAATCGGGCCAACTATGTATTACAAAATAGGTGTTTGAATTTTTAACACCTGACATTTTAATTATGTTAATTCTATTTGATAAACATCCAGGTTCACTAAAAGAAACCTTACATGAATTTTCAGGTAATTTGAATGATCATACCATTTCTTAATTTGGATTGTTCTGGAGCCATAAAAATACTTGTAGTAAATAGCAAATAAAGGAAATGATTCTGGTTTTCAAACACTTTCTAGGATATTGCCTGATAATTTTCATTGTCCACTTGAAAGGATTAAGAATTACATCTTTTGAATGGACTATGAATGAAAAATAAATTATTAATACTCCAGGAAAAATACAATACTGTACAACCCAGCGAAGGATCATCAAATGTACCCCAATAGTCCATGTTCAGAATAGATAACAGATTTTTGAAATATCTACATCTAACAATAGGTGAGGTTATTTAATCATCAAAAGATTTACCACAGGTTGGGCTGGAGACATAGCTCACCCCCCAACACTGCCCCTCCCCCAGATTACTTTAGGGTTCTTTCTTAGCACACATCAGCATGTTTTCATATCACTAACAGTTTGGTATGAGTCAGTGAGGTCCAGAAATAGACAGGGAAAAATAGAGCAAAACTATCCAAAATCATCATTAGACATGGCTGAAGAACAACCATAAAGTATCTTGATAATATAAAAATTTAATGCTCCATTTATTCAATTTTGTAATTGAAGTGTTACCAGTAATGACTTTTCTTCAGCTGGCTGAAGAGTCTAAGTACTGTATTCTATATTTTGTAATCATTTTTTTCTTTTTCTTTTTTTTTTTTTTTTTTTGGTGCTGGGGATTGAACCCAAGACTTGGACATGCTAGGCAAGAACTCTACCACTGAGCTACATCCCCAGCCCTTGTAATCATTTTTAATAGAAATTGATATCTACATTCCTTTTTCTTAAGCAGGATATAATCAGTGAGAATTTATCCTCTGCTTGATGACTGAGTCATCATTATTAAAACAAATTATAGTATCACCAGAGGCTTCAGAGATACCTGGGGTTACTTACTTCTAGCATAAAATGGTCTCAGAATCTTGTTTCCTCAACATTTGGACAGTTCTTGGTGTATTAAGTGCCCACCTTTGCTAGTACCAACCCCATCTAATTGACTTGTTACCTGCTGTAAGCTGGGAATAATTTTAATAAGCTTGACTAAGTAAAGTTAGAAAAGTCCTTTGGGCAGAGTGAAGTGGTTTTTGACATCTTTTTTTCTGATTTGGAGGAGAGAAAGTTACTATTATTTTAAAGTTCATAGCCGTGCCTCCAAGGATCTAGTTGTTAGAAGTGACCTCCATATTGCTGGCCATTTCTACATGCATTATAAGATAATTCACAGCTAAAAAGAAGTAATTTTAAACTTCGGAAACATTTACTATATATAAAGTAAATTTTGAGGCAACCGATATCTCACTGTAATGACTCAAATATAGTATGATCTAATATCTGTTAAGAAATAAAAAGCATAAAAGTACTTACCATTGCTATCCATAGAACAACATATTCATCTATAAAATTGTTAAAATACTGGTCTAAAAATAAAAGACCTGGCCCAACAAAGATAGTGTCTTGAAGATACAGTTCACTTTTGGTCATGTGAGCTATCTATAAAAAAGTAAAATAATTTCACTGTTAAATTTGTAAATGTTTTGGATCTTATTTTCAGAACGATTGTGAGTTTATTAAGATAAGAGACCATTTCATTTCATACTTAATAAGAAAATACTTATCTACATTTTCTCAAATTCAGGTAGCTTATTAACATTTCTAGTTTTAAGTTCCTTGATATCAACAAGTTATAGTTGATAATTATAGGCAAACAAATAATTAAGAGAACTGAATGTAATAGGAACATGAATAACTAGATATTGTGAGATTGACACCACAAAGGAGAACTTACGCATTATATGAAATAGTTTCCAGCTTTGTGTTTGAGAACTGAGTATATATTTACATCATGAATCATAAAAGAGTTCTTACCACTAATTTTTGTGCAACTTTAGCAAAGACACACCCAAACATTAGGGTATAAAGACAAGGATGCTTTTCAAACACATTAGTTGCTGACTTTTTATAGATCATTATTGCCAGTATAATAATTAGTCCTATGTGAAGTCCAGGTGACAAGACACTGGTGCCCTAAAAGACAAAGCAGAACATTTTTATAAGCCTCCTGTTTTAACACTGCATTTATTACAATGCAGACATTTTTGGATTTTTTTTGGTGTTACTAAAAGGAATTTACTAATCTTAATTAAAAACTCTTAACAGTGAATTCTATCACAGGCTTTGGCAACTCCAGGGGCAAGTATCCCTGTGGGATGTGGTCAAATCCCATCTTCGACAAGGCTTGCCACAACTGCCTGGTGAGGAGCTACCTGCAAGTTGCTTGAATACGGTATCAGAAATCATGAGGATCAAAAAAAAATGTTTTAAATATATTAAGACTCTCAACTGCCATTTTTGCACAGAGCTGTTAATATAATATATAGAACTTTTAACTTTTTCTACATAAAGGACATTTTCTTAATTCTCTGTACATCAGTATCTTCTTGCCTGGTGAATTATTGCAGAAGCTGGGAGTCTGCAGGCTTTTCCTGGGTGTACAGAGCCAGGCCCCACACATGCTTACATTGCCCATGGGAAGCAGGCCCTTGGGTCAACAAGCAGCTCCTGTGGAGGAAAGAGCTAGGGTTTCAAGCAAAGGGGATCACTTCTGTGGAATGGTCCACTTACTACATGGACCACCTTTGCTTTTCTGTGCCTTTGGGGGAGGAAAGGCTATCTGAAGGCTACGAACAGCAAGAGTTAGTCAGTCTTGGGCATCTTGTAAGAAGTGTCCTTCTGCAAAATACCCCTGTATCCTGCTCTGTGAGAACAGGTGGGACAGAGGACAATGAAAACATTTTCTGAGCATCTGTTTTGTATAAAATACTGGAGACCTAAAGAAGAGTATAATGTAGGGTAAGCAGAGAGATGGCTTAAACGAGTACAAACCTTAGGTGTGTACTTTTCAAACTTCTACAGAAACCCTGGGTTGTATAGACATGACAAACCACAATTGTTTGATTCAAATTTTGTATATGCACATTTTAAATTAATAAAAAGCTAAAAACTAACAATGAGATTTGTTCTGTATCAACTTTTAATACGTCAAAGGTTGTTAGTATTAGGACTATCAAATTAACATTTTTATGAAGATGTTGGAATAAAGCTTATCCTGCCAATTCTACAAAATATACCACTGATTAGGAAGAGTCTAATTCTACCCTGGTTTCTTTTTTTTTTAAATTGTGCTGGTGATACATTGTGACATTTACAGAAGTTCTTACAATATATCATAGTTGAATTCACCACCTCTACCATTCTCCTTTATCCCTCCTACCCACCCCCTCAGGTTTCTTTAATATCAACACCTTTCCCATGCGCTTTCGTTTTGCATTCAGACTGCAAATCTTTTATATGAAGCTGTGTAATCCAGGCCGTTAGATTTTTACCTATGTGCATCAGGATTCTCTTGACATTGCTTTCCCTAAACAAAATACTGAAGTAAATCCATAACCACCAATTTAAATCTGTTCATTGAAATAGCACTTAAGTTCACATTTTAAAAGTTAGAACCAACTATAAAATTATAGTAATAAAGGCTCACAGAGTGGCTCAAATGGCAGAGTGCCTGCCTACCAAGCACAAGGCTCTGAGTTTAAACCCCAGTACTACCAAGAAAAATTTATAGTAATAAAACCATATAATAAAATTAATATATATAAAATACTGTTATTGCGATAAAATTGAGATTAATAGTACTTTATCAGTTTTGTATACTATGTTCCTAGGTTTCATTTTAGAAAAAAAAAAATTGCTAAAGTTGAAAGCATCCCTGGTCATGGTGGCGGACACCTTTAAGCCCAGCTGAGGCAGGAAGATGAGTTCAAGGCCAGCCTGGGTTACAGACTCTTGTCTCAAAAACAAAAAACCCTGCAACAATATCAAAAGGAGTTGAAAACCCAGTTTGAGTTTGAAATTAACAGCTTCTGTTTAATAATTACCTCTCTTACTAAATCTTATTTTCTTTAGCAAAACTTATGTTCCAGGTAGTGCTCTCTTTTGTCACTCATGGTCAAGTAATATATATTGCTAAGCACCTTATGCACAGAACTGCACTGTGGTTAACGGGAAAAAAAAAATCCTCAGGAAATGACAGTTTTTTCCAAACAGATTAGAAGTTACATATCTCAAAGAATTTTATAATTTACTTTTGAGTTTTATACATAAAACAATCATAAAAATTGAGAAATTATAAATTATAGAGACTCCTTTGAAGTTGTCTTGAGAGCCAACTTATAGGTCATTTAAGAGAATGAAACTTCATTTAACTAAAAATGCTATATCTCATATTTATTACTTACTAATTAAACCTGGCTCCAGTGATTTTGTTTTTTCAAAAATCATATTCACCCTTAAAGGATAGAAATTTTGAATTATAGAACAACAACAACAAAAAAACCCAAAGATAATGTCTATAACTTAAAGAAATCCTTAAAAAGCCATTCTACCAATGTTTTGTTAAAAGATGACATCACTAGAGTAAGTAGTTATTTTCCTATGTTAAACTACACTGAAGGTAATAGGCCTTTTTAAAATGTAAGTTGTTACTTTTATTTAAAAATGACAGGAATTCTGATTCTCAACAAGTATTGAGTATTAAGTAGAAAATAATTACAGCATGAGCAAAATGTAAAAAACACAAACAAAAGGTATTTGTATTTCAACGTAAGATAAAAAATTTTACTTTGAAATTAGTAGAATAGTTCCTTTAAGAATATTTCAGTAAAATTTCAATAAGACTTACTTAAGAAATAATAAACTGAAACCTTAATAAATAATAAATGTGAAACCTTTGACCTTTGGCAGTTTTCCCATTATTCAATCAGAAACACGTTCCCTATTCTTTCTCCTCATGCCTATTAGCTCAAGCCACAAAATCCAAGAAAACAAATGGCAACTCTTGACTATGTATTATAATAAAACATCAAGTGGTCAAAAAGAAATGCCAGAAAAGTCTAGGCAGAGCAAACCTGTGAAAGGAAGAAAAAGCTTTTTTGTAATTCCACAGTGTTTTAAAATGCTTTTGTACTATGTGCCTAAAATGATTTCTTTAAGATTATTTGGTTTCCTTCCCCATTCTTGAGCTTTGGCATATTTTCATATCTCCGTAGCTGGTGATAAGAAAACTAATCATAAATTAATACTGAGTAATGATGAAATTAATGCCTTACTGCTATAGTGGATCCATTCTTGCCAACACCACCATGGAGGATAACGTGGAAATAACTTGAACAGGAAAATATTGCTCCACCTACTACTCCAAGAACTGGAAAGATCTTCAATTTAATTTCTAGAATGGGTATCTTTAGGGGTAGAGGAGAGAAAGAAATATTTAAAAAACAGAATTTCTCTTTATTAGTAAAGAAGCATTATGATATGGCCCTGTACCATATGCTATCCTTTTTCTTGTAATCAAACCTTAATCTCTGGAATATATACTGGTAACTTTCTTTGAAATTGCTTTATTAAGTAAAAAATGAATCCACAAATGAGGTTAGTTCATTTATGTAATTGTGATTAAACATTTAAATGCCACAAACCTTCACTGACTTAAACATGAAAAAGGATAGCTGACTGGACTTTAGTAGTCTCTCGAAGGTTATGAAAGAAAAGGCAGACATCATGATCTGAGTCATAAGTAACCATGTGTGTGCATGCAAAAAAATTGTGTAGCTAATACCCAGATTAAACTTCTAGCAATATATTTACCTGTTAGTCAATTGCTGTTCAAGACAACTTCCAAAGGCAGCAATGGATTTAAAAGACAGTAACAATGAATTGCCAGAAGCTACAGGCCATCATATTTTGAAAATAGACTTTGAATGATTGTACCAAAATTTGTGGAAATTTCATGTTAACAAATGTAGAAAACCTACATCAAAAATAAGTACCCTTGTTTGTGAGAATAAGTAGGTGTGTCTTCTTCTTATGATGTTGCCAAAAATTGAATGAAATAATTTCAAAATTCAATTCCAAACTTAAGACAGCCACACCTGGCTTAATAGCCAGAGTTGCCCAACTGCTTGTGGGTATTAGCTGAAGAGCTACCATAAAAGACACAGCACAGGCCCACAGTAGCATAGCCTTGATTGTATTGTTTATGCTTACCCAATGAGACTGAATCACTACTTACAATTATCTTCAGAGTCTACTTCTCAGCCTACTGATATAAACAGTAATTGGCAACTCACATGCTAAGTGCCACAGGGAAATACGCTATGTTTTTAAACAGTTTTTATTTTTAGAGTTTTAGATTCACAGCAAAGTTGACTGACTGGTATAGAGAGTTCCCACCCCACTATCAACATACTCCATTAAAGCATTCGTTAACAGTTGGTGAACCTACATTGACACATTATCACCTGAATCCCACAATTTACATTAGGGTGTACAGTATGTACACAACACCTTGGTGTTGTATATTCTGTGTGTTATGATAAATGTATAATGACATGTATCCAACATTATATTATCAGACAAAATAGTTCACTGCCCTAAAAATCCTGCCTTCCACTTTTTATTTTTCCCCCTGACAATCACTGACCTTTTTTACTGTCTTCATGGTTTTGCCCTTTTCAGAATGCAATAGTTGGAATCACACAGTCTGAAAGCCTTTTCAGATTGGCTTCTTGCTCTTAGTAACAAGCCTTTAGGGCCATGTCTTTTCATAACTTGATGACTCATTTCTTTTTAGTACCAAATAATACTCCATTGCCTAGATATACCATAGTTTATCCACTCACCTACTAAAGGACATTTTGGTTGCTTCCAAGTTTTGGCAATTATGAAAAAAGCTGCTATAAACATTTGTGTGCAGGTTTTTACATGGACTTGTTTTCAACTCCTTTGAGTAAGTATCAAGGAGCCCAGTTTCTGGACCATATGGTAAAAGCATGTTTTAGTTTTGTACTTCTTGCTATGTTTACTGGATATCTGTAGCTTAGTGTTCACAAACATACAGTCTACAATCAGCCTGAGTAATTCCTAGTTCTACTTCCCATATGAATTTGGACAAATTAATCATTCTAAGACTTATTTATAAATATAATGTAATATGTATTTCATAGGATATGCTGAGGGGCAGATAAAAGTGATAAAAAATGCTTTAGGAACAAAGAGTGTTGAATGAATGGATGAAAGTTGTTGGCTGTTGATATTATTAACAATATGAGCATAAGATTGTGAGTCAGTTAGCCAGTGTGTTTAGACTTAGGTTTGGTGACAGAATAATTTGTTCTTCATAAGTTTTATTCCTCTGCAAAGCTTGAGTTTATAATGGCAGCCTCCTAAGAACTAACTTTAATCAAAATACCAAAATGTCCAACCAAGCAGAAAATAAAACCTTCTGTAATTTGGACATCTTCACTACAAAGTAGATTTTAAAAAGGCAAATTAATGACTTTCTTCCCTAATACTTGAGACAGTTTCAAAAACATTTTATTGGATTTTTAAAAATTATTTTATGAGATACATTTTGGCCTGGAAGAGGTAATTTCAGTACTTTTTTCCCCTCTTTTGTATTAGGAAAGAAGGGTCATTTTCTTCTATGTAGTAAAATATTCATTCATACAAGAAAATACCATTATTAGGTACTTAGGATAGTAACATTCCATCAAAATAGAATGAATACCACATCAAATCTAAGGATTTGTGAAGAAAATTAACAATGAAATATTTTTCCTAAATGTTTAAGAAGTACTTAACTATGAATGTAAACATTCATATTTACCGTGTAGTCCCACATTGTTGCTCCTCCAAATGTAGACAACAAAAAGACGATGACTAACGCTACCTGAATCTCAGTTACATCCACTCTAAAGAGGAAGGATAAAGAAGAGATAAAGTGCTTCTCAATAAACTTCAACACAGAAGCTGTGATTTTTTACTTTATGTATTTCTGTAAAGTTTGAATTTTTTATAAGAATGCATTATTCTTGAAAATGACAAAAAATCACAACATATAAACAACCATATTATTTAGCACAAATTCTTAAAAACTCCAAAATTAATTTCACTTATAAAGTAGAATTCTAACAGCTTTCCTTATGGAGTTACTAATAGTCATTATAATTTTTTGGTTTCCACAGACATTTTCCCCCTTACAGACATGTTTAAATTTCTCTCAAAAAAGCGACTAATTAAATCGCATCACTCTCTCTAGTCTACATTCCCCAGAAGCTGTCCAACTATCTCCTTTGATCCATAACTAGTGTACAATTATAATTTCCTTGTCTCTTCGTATTTGTTATTTAACTCACTATTGTCTGGACTTTAGCTCCAATTATTATACTGAAATTGTTTAGATAAATGACTTCCAATTTGTCAAACAGAAGGAATGCACTTCAATCATTGTTGCATAAGTACTTTGTAATATTTTAAGATGCAGATCAGTCCCCCTTTCTTGAAATGCTTTGCTGTGTTTTTATCTGTCTCATGTTCTCTCCCGATTTACTTACCTTACTAGACCTCTTCCCAGGCTCCTTCCTAGACTTCTTCCTCAATATCTTAAATACTGGTTCCAGGGTTCAAGCTGCAATTTTATATTATTTTGAACAGTTTTATCTATTCTTAAGAGTACTATCTATATGCTAATGACCTCTAAATCCATATCTTCAATCTACATCTTTTTTCCTGAGCTCCAGATTTTTGTATTTTTCTTAAATCTCTGTTTGGATGACCCAGTCTTTAGATGCTAGAGGACTAGTTATTGTTCTGCAAATATAAGAAATGTAAGGATTAGATTTAAATGAAAACAGGGAAGAAAAGACTTCTCAATTAAGTTATTTAGGGGCCAGTTAGGAGAAAAAGGTAAACTGAATTGTTAACACACAAATAGAAGGAAAATATGAATAATGACACTCAGTATTTGCAATGTCAATAGTAGGCAAAGCAAGGTCTCTAGGCTGCCTGGAGAAATAGTTCTTAGGTGCAACGGTAAACAAAATCCATATGGTGCTTTGTGGAAGAAAAGGGGGAAAATGACCAACATTTGCTGAGTATCTATTATGTGTCATATGTGCTACAAATTATTCCTGGATTGTGACATGAGAAATTAATTTTTTTTTCATTTATTCACATGTGCATACCAATGTATGCACGTGTCATTTCTCCCCTAAAATGATTTCTCAGTGCCTGTATTGGAACAGCTGAACATTACTGTAGGAAAATAACCTCAAAGCCAACAATCTTTCTACTAATGACTCATTATCAGTATTGTACTATTTCAGTAAAAATGACAGCACTATATCATTACCAGTAATTTTCATGGGGCATAATTAGAGACTAATAGCAAACTAGGAAACATGGAGGGATTATAGAATGAACTTTCTCTAGTTAAAACTAAATGATATGTGAGGATTAAGCTAGGAAACTGGTTTTGCATATGTAACACTCATGCCATAGATTTTAAATTAAACTCATAGCTTCATCCAACCTTTTAAGGAAAAATTAAGTACCTCACGATTTTTGAGTCTTGGGGGGGAAAAAAAGCTAAAAGGATATTGTTAAAATTTAGTTCAATCCCCACTACCTCAAAGAAAAGAAATTTATGGGTGGGTGGAACCGCTCATCAAATCCTCAAATTGTGAACTATGAAGAGATAGTTGGAGCTTAAAAAATGGTATTAGAAAAACAAAATTATATTCTGTATAACAATTCATAAGTTTAGATAATTTGCCAATGAGTCTCCCAAGTTTTTAAAAGCTGCATCAAAAAGACTTAAAAACACAAGAAAGGTAGCTATTGTGTATCTGATGAGGGTAAATCCTTAAGTCCCCAGGCTGTTATTATGGAGGACAATCTACAGTAATGCTATTCAGAATGTAGTACAAAGTATGTTACCAGTACATAATGAGAGTTTAGAAATTGAGAAGAATAAAAAATGTTACGGCAGTTTGACAGAGCAATATTTTATCTGGTGAATCTAAATATTAGGGACTATGTTTTATAAGTCTTTTTGTTGTTGTTGCTTGCAAAGCAGGCACTCTACCACTTGAGCTACATTTCCAGTCCATTTTGCTGTGGTTATTTTGGAGATGGGATCTTGTGATCTATTTGTCCAGGATGGCTTCAAACCATGATCCTCCTGATCTTAGCCTCTTAAGTAGCTAGGATTACTGATGCCTGGATGTTTTTTTTAATTTTTTTAATTGTGTGTTATTATAGGATGGATGGGGGAAAGAGGTTCAGTATTTTACCACAGAGTTTTGAGAAATGGATCTAATACCAAATTCTCATGGTTTTGAAAGAAAGGAAAATTATCACTGAATCTAAATATTCATAACAAAATACCACATAATACAAGTTAACATCAGACTTAAACCTAAAATGCTTGGTTTAACTGGAAAAATCAAGCTTTAAGCATTGCTCAACTGAATTACATAAGACTCAACATGGAGGTGAACATGTTGTAAACAAGATATGCAGTATCTCACATGGCAAGCATTAGTACTGGGATAGATTTTTAACTGTGCTAAGGAAAACACTAATGTATCACTTATAAACCGAACTTACATTTACCTATTTAAATAAAAGTACAATATATAAACTAATAGGTGAAATTTATAATTAAAATAGCTACTGTTATAATAAAAATAAATACTGTTATAATAAAAATAAAAAGCTTATAAGTAGGGTAAAATCCCAGACCCTTTACAATTCTTGACACACATCATCATCTAGTATAATAAAGATTTATTATAAATTCATTGTAAACAAAAAAAAGCTACTATTACTAATGCTTTGTAGTTTTAAAGATCTAATTCAAGGCGACCTTCATATTTGTACTGAAAGCTCTATATTTTCAAGAGATAAATATAACAATTAAATATAAATGAAATAGAATAGTATTGTATTTTATGGAACAGTGTAGGATAGTACTTTTGTGTTCATAAGAAAAACAGAGCCAGGCACTAGTGGCTCACACTTGTAATCCTAACTACTCAGGAGATCAGGAAGATCTCAGTTTGAAGCCAGCCTGGGCAAATAGTTCTTTAGACCCTATCTTGGAAAAAGTCATCCCAAAAAAGGGCTTGTGAAGTGGCTCAAGGTGTAGGCCTTGAGCTCAAACCCCAGTACTGCAAAACAAAACAAAACAAAACCAAAAAACAAACAGGATTACTCTTCCCTGCTTAGTTTTTCTTCACCCCATTAGGAGAGGCGTCCTGCCACTGACCCTGAGCAGTGCTGCATGTTCTTGCAGGGTAAGCCAAGAATGGAAGGTCTTGAATGCTCTTACCTGGGCCATTTCTCAGGGTTGTGTAAGCAGTAAGCAGGCCTAAAGGGTGAGGTTACATCTGCTCCAACAAAAGGCAGGTTTCCTTCTGCTTGCTAGAAAACTGACAGATTCCTCAGTGTTCCTCTTTCATAACAGAACTCACTGCAAGTGCAGGTGTTCATCCACAGGACTGTGGAAGGGCTGTGACATGGAAACCTGGCACAACATCAGCCTCTGGCTACTGCTCTTGCCTAAGTAATGAAGTTCTCCCCTCTGACCCAGGAGCTTGTGTCTTCTGTGAGCATTCATGAAACATTAAAAAGCTTGCTTGGGAGCTTATAAGTAGGGTAAAATCCCAGACCCTTTACAATTCTTGACACATACCATCATCACCATCTAGTATTATACGCACATTTACTTGTTTAAGATCTTGAGGGGGGCAGTACTAGGGTTTGAATTCAGGGCCTTGCACTTGATAGGCAGGTGCTCTACCACTTGAGCCCCAGCCCAACTTGTTTAGATTGTTTTATTGTATGTCTCCTCAATTAGACTGTAACCTTGGGGGGAGGGCAGGGATTTTGTGTATTCAGCCTACTCTTACTACCTACCTTAGCACCTAGAACAGAGACTGACATAATGAATGCTCTATAAATAGTTTTATACATATTGCAAAAATATTACTCAAATTCACTGCAGCATTATTCAATAAAATCAAAGAATTATATTGACCTCCCACCAAGTGTTTTTAACTAAATTTCTTCTGTGTGCTTATTTCCTTATGATATCAGTAACTTACTAATTTTCTGATTAATACATGAGATTTATTTTTTAGTAAAAGTTACTATTTAACATCACTCATGAGGAAATAAACATAAAAATTAATTGAATTAAAATAAAAATAGCATGGTATAATAATGTTCACTACCTCTATGTTCCAGATTCTGTATTAAGTCCTCTACATAATTATTTTTATTTATTTGTATATTTATTTATTTTGATGGCTCTGGGGTTTGAACCCAGGGTCTCATGCTTGCTAGGTAGGCAGGCACTCTTATTGCTTGATCCATTTGGCCAGCCTTTTTTTGTGATGGGTTTTTCAAGATAGGGTCTCTCGAAGTATTTGCCTGGGCTGGCTTCAAACAATGATCTCTGTCTCCTGAGTAGCTGGGATTACAGGTGTGAGCTACCAGTGCCTGGTGGCATGCATACATTATTATTTAGTCTTCACAATAACCTTTTAAGGCAATTATTACAATTGTCCCCATTTTATAGGGAAGAAACTGAAGAAAATGAGATTAACCTATTTTTGAGAAATAACTACTATGTTGGTGCCAGAATTAGATTCTAGCCAATCTGATTACAGAGCCTGTAGTTTAACTATCATACTTAGAGCAGACTCAATACTATGAATGATTTAAAGGGCATGGAAACTGGGAAAAAATTATCTAGCAAAAATATAATATTAATAAAGTCTTAAGTTCTTTAGCTCAAACCTATTTGACATGTTTTTTTTTCTTTAAGTCTTTTAGAAGGGAAACCATGTAAAGCAAGCTTAAACCAAGAATGTATTCAAATTTCCAAAGAATATTCTGAGTTTGTTTAGCTTGGTTTCATATGCCTGCATTTAAATATATTTAATAAATACTATAAAAGTTAAAACTCAAAAGGTGACAGATTTTTTCAGGAAACCTATCCTAGCTAATAGACAATTGAACTGGCTCAGTTTGTTAGCACTCCCAGAGGCCTGATGGTTGGCCTGCACATAGATCCTTCTTGTAATGATTGGTAAGACCATCAGTCTGTCCTACTCAACCCTCCATGATATTTTTACTTTGGCAAAGTTAAAAAAAAATACACTGCTTAGGATAAGTGCCATGTGGATGACCCCTGGGACACTGCAGACAGGATCTGTTTCACCCCCTTCAGACTTGGTGCTCAATCACATTAGCCCTTTCCTTACTGTTCTAAGCATGTTCTTCATGCTTCTGTTCTAGCAGGTGTGGTATATTCTTATCCACAGGCGACTCCTCTTTGTATCTCCAGTTCAAGGCTCTTGATAGAATAGTGATTGAGCATAAAACTTACACTGATGCCAGAAATAGGAACTCATTCATTTCAGAAAGGCTTTTAATGAAGAATCAAAAAAGTACAATGATAACCATTAAATAATATAAACAATAATGACAGTTAACTGAAACATTGTACTCTTACATTACTCCAGTTTACCATAGCAACTTCAGCAAATTAACTAAAATATAAAGCTGCTTTTTTACATCTTAATCTATAAATAGGTACAGATTCTTAATTTTGCAAAGTTACCTTAAATTTTTACCAAGGATTTTTGACTCTTAGGCTCTTGACTAGTATGTAAGAAATCAGCTAAAGATTTACATTTTCCTTAAAGCTCTCTTAAACTAATTCAGTCTGCAGCTACCTTTCCATTACCTAGGATTTATTCAGTGCTTCTGAAAACCTAAAGCAAGTCATTTCACACTTGGTATGGACCCTCTTAGCAGTATCCCAGGTTATCTCATCTCTTCAATACAGAGTGTACTAGATAGTTCCTCAAACAGGGCCTGTATTTTAAATGTATTTTGTATCTTTCCACAGCATCTAACACATTGCTGGACCCATAGTTTTGAGTAGTATTCATTAAGAGTATGGGGTATGAAGTCAAGGACTTGAGTTTTAATCCTGGATCTATCACTTACTCCTGGGCAGGATATTTGTACAGTGGAGGTAGTACTCCTCACAGGGGTAGTATGAGGAATAAAGGACATACTGCATATGTCCTTTATTTACATTAATGCATAATGTAAAACACTTCATACAGTTCCTAAAACAGGCAAGTGCTCAGTTGGTGGTAGCTGCAGTTACTCCACTCCACAATTTAAACTTAATGTGAAAAGTTGCCTAAAGGCTTCCCTCTACTTAATGATCCATAGCTTTGAGCTAAAGTCTCATGACTACCTGTTGTTGGCGACTGTTGTCAAGTGGGTAACTCTTTTTGGCACATGATGACGTTACCAAAAAAAGACCTTAGGCTCCATATCACATTATTTTATGTTATCCGAATCAAATGCAGTTTGTTAAGTACTCCATGTCCTTTCTCTATATTATTCAAGTCCTCTATTTTTCTTTTTCTCCTGTCTATTGTAAGCTAGTAAGTTGGAGAAGGGGAGGAGGAAAATAAAAAATGATTTTATACTTAAATGACTTAAATTAAGGTGTAGCATTTATAGGACCCCCAATAAACTACAAGAATTTAAATTACTGAATGAAGCTTCATCCCTCTTAATATGGACTAATACCATAACTGATTGTGAAAATGATCTCAGTAAAAATATACTTACTTTCCAAATCTCAAGACACCTGAAACATAAGTCTGCCAATGGGCACAATAAAACATGAACATCCCAATAAAAGAGCAGAAAAACAGCCAGTCAGGATGAGTTCCTAAGCGAACAGCAATTGAAGCTCCAACTGCCATAAATACTGAAAGACACAAAGTTTAAGAACCATTAAGAAATAAAAATAATGAAATAATTGCCCTGTGCCTTTCAGAAAGAGAGTTTTAGGGGATATAGTCCTGGCATTAAAATAACGTGCACTTAATAAAATGAATTTTTGAACATACTTTAAACTGTGACAAAAATGCTCCTAAATGTATACCTCTTTAAAAAACTGGCCAAACAGCTGTTCATTTTAATTTTTAAGCTAATAGTGCAAAAGAAAATTATAAGAGCAGGGGGGAACTCCACTAATTTACCTGTGGAAAGAGAGTCACAACCATGGTCAAAAAGTTCTCCTAAAGGAGAACAAGAATTTGTTCTTCTGGCTTGTTTCCCATCGATAGCATCTAGTGACTGGTAGATAAAGAGTCCTAGTGCACATAAAAGGTATGTCCAGTATGGTGCCTGAAAATATATGTAAATAACAAAGGTTAAGTGACAACAAGCTAGTTTGTTTGAAATAGCTCAGCCTAAGCCAACTGACATACTTTCTTTTGTTCACATTCTACAAAGACCATTCATAACCCTCCTTCAGATGAGAATTAAATTAAGAAATCAAATGAATTATTCTAAGTCATGTGGGCAGAGGTCTCTCAGAAGTTCACACTGTGAGAAGCACAGTTAAATGGCTAAGCAAGGCTTAGGAACAGGATTTTGATTTCTGGTCCGTGGCTCTTAATATGATTCATACATGACACAGATTTGAAATTACTCAGGGCATCTTTGTGAAATAAGACCATAAAGGCTAACTACAGACCTCTGTGTCCATTCATGACAGAGTATCAGAGACTAGATTTACTCCCCTACCTTCTGTAACTAGATAAAAACAATGGTTCTCAGATATGGCAGGAAGCTTGTGATTCCTTAGAGCAGGGAAATAATGAGGTGATCCCCTATGATTGCTCTAGCTTACTGCAGTTTCCAGACACTGTGCAGGAATGGGGACCCAAACCAATCCCAGTGATCTGGCTGTGAGGAGGAGAAAGGTTTCAGAGTCCAGGAAGACAAGGCAGCTAGGATTTGTGAAGCAGAACAGCAGAGAGGAGGAAGCTGAGCAGACAGGGACGGGAGGTGTGGAAGGCCGCAGAAGGGACCTGAGTCTCTGGCTGAGAACTGATCTATGCCTGAATGAGACAAAAATACTAAGGAGCACTAGGGAAAGAAAAGAAATACTGAGAAGTGGAAGGTTAAACAATTCTTGGAGCTCACACAGGTCTGAGAAGAGCTCATGCTCCCACCAGGCAGAGCAGAAAGACCTTACAATAACTGGGGACCTGGGGCAGAGTTTTCATAAGTGTGCTGCCTCAGCAATAGTAAATTAGCCCTAGGTTAAAGACTTTTCCAGATAGCCCTAACAAAAACCTGCCTTAAAAGGATCCAGTTAATTCCCTGTAACTTAACTGCCGCCAGTATAAAGTACATCTTAGGGAAAAAAAGTGTATAGCACTCCAAAATGTAAAATTTCCAAGGTCTGACATCCAATCAAACACTATCAGTCATACAAACAAGCAGGAGCATGATTTACAATAAGGAATAAAATTAATACAATCTGATCCAGGAATGTCAGAAATAATTGAAATAGTAGACCAGGATATTAAAATAGTTATTATAAATATGCACTGTATGTTTAAGAAGGTAAAGGAAAACATGAAAATTATAAAGAGAAATGGAAGAAAAAAAACTTAGTGGTAACCTCTAAAAATGAAAAAATACAATTTTTGTATTGCAACACACACTAAATGAGATTAATAGCATGTTAGAATTGGTAAACTTGCCAGACTACCAATGGAAACTATCCAAAATGATGCACAGAAAAAAGATTAAAAATAATTGAACTGGGCATAGGTGACCTGTGAGATGACAGAAAGTAATCTTAGGTATATGTAAATGAGTCTCAGAAAAAGAAAAGAGAGACAGTAGGACATGAAAAATGTAAGAATAATAGCTGACATTTACACAAATTTTATAAAATCTAAAACCCTACATATCTGAGAAGCTAAGCCCCAAACAGAATAAAGAATATATTTTTAAAACCCACCAGGTATGGTGGTTCATGCCTGTAATTCCAGCACTTGGGAGACTGAAGCAGGAAGACAATGAGTTTGAGGCCCATCTTAGCAAGTTCCAGGGTAGCCTGGGCTACATAGCAAGACCCTGTTTCAAAAAGTCAAGGCCAGCCCAGGTAGGAAGTTCACAGCACCCAATCTCAACTAATAGCTGGGTGTGGTGGTGTGTACCTGTCAACCCTAGCTATGTGGGAGGCTGAGATAGGGAGGATCACAGTTCCAGGCCAGCTCAGGCAAAAATTTTTGAGAGACCCCCATCTCAACATAAAAAAGTGTGGAATGGTGCTGAGTACCTATCATCCCAACAATGGTGGGAAGCTTAAAATAGGAGGATTGTGGTCCAGGCCAGCCTGGGCATAAAGCAAGACCCTATCTCCAAAATAGCCAGAGCAAAAAAGGCTGTAGGTGTGGCTTAAGTGGAAGAGCACCTGCCTAGTGAGCAGAAAGCCCTCAGTTCAAACCCAGTACTGCCAAAAAAAAAAAAAAAAAAAAAAAAGCCAAAACACCAAGGCATATCATAGTAAAATTACTAAAACCAGGAATAAAGAAAAAAAATCATAAAAGAAGCCAGAGGTGAAAAAAAGACACATTACTTACAGAGACACAGATTAAAAATGACAGGAGCCAGAAAACTTGAAGATAGAGCCACAGAAGTTATCCAATTTGAACATTAAAAAGAGATTTAATAATGACCACTCTTTTCTTTCTGCACTTCATACATGTATTCTACTTCCTCAGGGACCTGTGCAATTCTGGTGTTAGTCACTTTTCCTCACTGACAAAATATTTGAAATAAACAACTTAAGGGAGGAAGATTTATTTTGGCTCATGCTTGTAGAAGTTTCAGTCTGTAGTCACTCATCTTTGTTGCTTCTGGACCCATGTGAGGTGAGACAGAGCATCATGGTAGAGCGCATGTGGTAAAGCAAAGGGGTTCACCCAGTGGTGTACAGGGGGCAGAAAGCCAGAGAGGAAGTGTCCAGGGACAAGATAGGTTGCCCATAGCAACCTACTTTCTCCAACAAGGCCCCACTTCCTAACAGTCCAGTCAGCTATAAATTTGTCAATGGACTAATTAGTTGATGAAGTTAAAAGCCCTCATGATCTAAAACCCCATCAGATAGCAACCAATCCATTAACACACAATCGAGGGACATTTTTAGATCCAAAGCATAACATCTGCTCACCCCAGAATCGTACATCTGAGAGAGGAAGACAGCACATTGTTAAAGAAACAGGATTTTGGCCAAAAAACACATGAAAAAATGCTCACCATCTCTAGCAATAAAGGAAATGCAAATTAAAACCACACTAAGATTCCCCCTCACCCGTTAGAATAGCCATCATTAGCAACACCACCAACAACAGGTGTTGGCGAGGATGGGGGGAAAAAGGAACCCTCTTACACTGTTGGTGGGAATGTAAACTAGTACAATCACACTGGAAAAAAATTTGGAGGCTACTTAAAAAGCTAAACATTGATCTACCATTTGATCCAGCAATACCACTCTTGGGGATATACCCAAAGACTGTGACACAGGTTATTCCAGAGGCACCTGCACACCCATGTTTATTGCAGCACTATTCACAATAGTCAAGTTATGGAAACAGCCAAGATGCCCCACTACTGACAAATGGATCAAGAAAATGTGGTATCTATACACAATGGAATTTTATGCAGCCATGAAGAAGAACGAAATGTTATCATTCGCTGGTAAATGGATGAAATTGGAGAACATCATTCTAAGTGAGATTAGCCTGGCCCAAAAGACCAAAACTCGTATGTTCTCCCTCATATGCGGACATTAGATCAAGGGCAAACACAACAAGGGGATTGGACTTTGATCACAAGAAAAAAGCAAGTGCACACAAGGGAGATATGAGGATAGGTAAGACCACCTAAAAAATTAGCTAGCATTTGTTGCCCTCAATGCAGACAAACTAAAGCAGATACCTTAAAAGCAACTGAGGCCAATAGGAGAAGGGGACCAGGAACTACAGAAAAGGGTAGATCAAGAAGAATTAACCTAGAAGATAACACACACGCACAGGAAATTAATGTGAGTCAATTCCCTGTGTAGCTATCCTTATCTCAACTAGCAAAAACCCTTGTTCCTTCCTATTATTGCTTATACTCTCTCTTCAACAAAATTAGAGATAAGGGCAAAATAGTTTCTGCTGGGTATCGAGGGGGTGAGGGGGAGAGGGAGGGGGCAGATGGGTGGTAAGGGAGGGGGTGGGGGCAGGGGGGAGAAATGACCCAAGCATTGTGTGCACATATGAATAATAAAAAAATAAATTAAAATAAATAAATAAAATAAAATTCCAGGAGTTATAGAACCCACTGCTAGCTCTTGCTATTTAATGCATTAATAAAGAAGCACATATACGACCATAAAAAAAAAAAAAAAACAGGATTTTGAAGTTAGATCTGCATTTGAGTTCTTGGGTCTGTCATTTAGTAACCACATGACCTTGGGCAAGTCATTTAACCTTGTTAAACCTTGGTTACCTAACCTGTAGAATGTGTATAAAACTCAAGAGTTATATCTGATTAGAAAAAAACCTCTTAGATAGCTCTTTATACAGAGCCTGGCATATAGTAAGTGTTCAACAAAGATTAGCTATTGTCATTAAATTTTTTTGTATAATTTTAATGGCAAATATACTTTTTTTTTCCTGAGACAGTGCCTGCAAGACAGAGACTCAGGTATGAGAAGACCACAACCATGCAACTCACCACCTCCAAAGACGGAGAGCAATAGTACCTTCAGCTTGCCCTGGCTAATCAAAGCTCCCCAAACCAAAACTTGAAAGTTTTTACCATCTCGTTTCCTCTTTCCTTCTCACCTAGAAATTTTTTCTAGGGATAAACTGATGCAGACTTCCCTCATTGATACATTCCCGGTCCCCTAGAGCTATCTATACTGAACAGAATATAGATTCAAGAGATTCCCCTAAATTAACAGACTAATATGATAAGAAAGGTTTCTGTGCATATTGGAACATTTGGGGCAGGGTGTTCATTTTCTCTAGGTGCCTCTGGCCCCCTCCCAAACTAATTTTAGAAGTAAAAAATGTAGAATGGCCACAGGCTCTTGACCAACTGCCAAAAGTTTCAGACAGCCTCTCAAATACCCAACTTCATACTCCAGCTCCATTCCACCCACAATGTCCTCTTGTCCAGATTATTTATGACTTGATAGTCTCATGGCTATACCCTTCCTAAACATTCTCTCACCCAACTCAGCAAAGCCCTTACTTAGGTGTCTCCTCCTTCAAGGATACACCTCTTTCTCCACCTACACTTCACCTACAAAGAAATCAAAGGAGACCAAC